TATAAGTCTTTACTTTACTACTTTACTATTGAATAAAAGTATTAAATTTTTTTTTTTTAAAAGAGAAAAGATACTGACCCCAAACTTTTGAATGGTAGTGTATTGTTAAAAAAGGATTTCTAATTTAAATAAATGCTGTTCTTCTTTTTTTTTTCTTTTCAAAGAATCCTGAAAAAAGAATCACAGGTAATAAAAAAAATATATAAGCAGCACAACTGTTTCCAAAATTGATAATAAATCAGCATATTAGAATGATTTCTGAAGAATCATGTGACACTGAAGACTGGAGTAATGATGTAAAATTCAGCTTTCCATCACAGATACACATTGTTTTAAAGTATATTAAAACAGAAAACCATTATTTTAAATTGTAATACCGGTAATACTGCCCAATATTACTGTTTTGTTCTGCATTTTTGATCAAATAAATGAAGCCTTGATGGCCAAAAGATATGTAATGTTTAAAAACATTAAAAATAGTAATGTGTCCAAAGTTTTGACCAGTACTGTACTTCTGTATGATAACAGAAAACTGGCTAGCAGAAAGAGCATCACAGCTTGAGCTAGCTAGCACATACCTCATAAATTGTCAATGAAATAGTGCTAACTCGCTTAGATTTTTCATATCTTGATTTACTGGCTAGCTAGCTACTGTATAAACACTTTTTGGCATTTACTAGTTAAACTTGAATCCCATAGGTCAAATATATTTAGAATATCAAAACTTAGATGTAGTCTTTGGGCTCAAATGCAGCAAGTGTGGCTTCAGAGAAAATGGAGGGGAATCCCCCTCTTAGGTGACTAAGGGGATTGTGTGTGGGGAAGGGTCATTTTTAGACTTCTGTTTTATTATTATCTCACCTAAATGTTTGTTCAGTCAGTGTATTTGCTTTTACAATTGTATAGTCTATTTTAGTTACACAGTATATTACACACAGCACAATGAAGTTTTAAACATAATTTTTTGTAATATTCATGTAATTTACATGAATACTTACCAAGATGGACATTTTGATATTTTGTGTGCAGGATTTAAGAAATTATCTGTTCATGTTATGTAGGAAAGCACAGTGCATGTAGGGGGTGTGGCCTCAATAGCCCTGCAATAAGCAGTGTGCTGTGTGCATGTGATTGAGCAGTGTTTGTTTAGGGTAGAAATTAAACTGAAATTGCATTAAATCAGGTTATTTTAACCAAGATTATGCTGCATGATTTTTTCTCAACTGCATTTAAGTTTCCAGTTCCTGCAATTTTGCAAATTTCCAGTTTATTCCCATTAATTCCCATATATTCCCTTTAATTCCCATGGAAAGTTTCCAGTCTTGAAAATTCCCGGATTTTTGCAACCCTAATCATGATATATATTGTTACCGTGAAATAAAATTACTCGTATCGTGATATAAGATTTTGGTCATATCGCCCACCCCTATGTTGTAGTATGTTATTCTGAACACTGCACAGTACCTAGCCCAAAGTCACCCACCTGCCAGGGTACTGGTGTGTCTGAACGCTCTGACCTGTGAGTCTGACAGGCCGGTGAGGAGAGAGATGACCATGTCCATCATGTACTCATCATAGATTATGCTGTACTGGCACTGTCGGACCAGGACCGCGATGAACTCACACAAGCTTAATTTAAACTTCTTCCACACCGGACCTGCCATTGCCAGCGGATAATCGCCACTGTCCTGAACACACACACTTTTTCCATATAGATTTACAGTATCTAATCTCCTCCATCCCATCATAGATTCTACCCATGGAAACGTCTGTGGTATAAACAGATTAACAAACCTCATCAAATTCTTCCGTCATTTTCCTGATGATCTCAGAATTCTGCATGTGCCGAAACATCTCGGAGCTCACCGCACCTATAACAAGCATACACATTCAATAAGACAAAATATAAGATTGAATTATGTAAACTTATTTACACCTAGAGAACACACACACACCTTTACAGCCAGAGCAGTGGATAAAGAAGTTGATGAGTTCCAGCAGGGCAGAGTCTCTGTTCGTCTTATAGGACTCAATCCAGTCATCAACCACTGGCTACAGAGAGAGACACAAAGTAAACACACACACACACACACACTCGCTCAGTTAAACCTTCTTTCCTGCACACACAGCCTACACAGAAAGCATTCACTGCAGTTAGACCTGGATATAATAACTAACCACACAAACTGCTGATTTACTCTGATACATCCGAGCACTTTGAGACAGAGAGCGTGTATGTCTGTGAATGAATACAGTCTGACAGATCAGCGTGTATCTGAAGTTGTTCGTGTGTATGCTGGTACCTGTGTGGCACTCTTGCCCAATTTGACAATCTCAAACAAACTGAGATTCTCCATGTTGTTCTCCTGATGGTGGCCATTTACCCGACCTCTCACCTCTGACCCCTTCAACTTGTCTCCAAGGGTCTTTTTCCCCTTCTAGACACAAATGGCAAAAAGCAAGAAAATTTTAATTAAACAAGCTTCTAAGGCTGCATGGCTCGAACTGTGATTTAAAAATCCCCATTGCAATTTAAAATGTGATTTAAAAAAAAAGCTTCAGGTACAAAATAAGGAATATCATTATTATTGCAATATTCACAGTAAAATTAATTTAAGAACAATAACAAGAAAAATATTACTATTTTACAGTACAACTGTTGTTAAACCATTAATGTTTTATTTCAGCAGAAAACCTCAGGGAGCCCTCAAATCTTCTTTTTTGTTAACAACAGCTGGTTTAAAGACAGTTGGTGCATATTGCATTCCCAAACGCGCATTATAAGCTACCCAAACTGAAAGCTCATGCGGAGATGATTTTTTGTAGAGCAGTATTTTCTGCAAACCACTCATGAGCTGCAGATTTGTAAAAAAAAAAAAAATGCTGCACTTCACTGAAACACAACGCATTTATTTATTTAAATCAAATCGCACTAAACCATATAGCAGTTTCGCTTTTATGTGATTAATCGCGCAGCTTTACTCATATCTGTTTAACAGTATTTTTGAAAGCTGATTGTGTGATAAAAGAGCTGAATGCCTTTCTACAAGATCACTGTCTGATAGGTACCTTTCCTTTCCCAGATTTGCCATTCCGACCCTCGAGATCTTCAAGATCAGTGTCCGAGAGCCGAGAGTATCCTTCCCTAAACAAACAAAATGCACCAGTGATTAGAGCAGTGTGTATGTGGAGTATTTCAGGTGTATGTATTTTACAGGTGTTCTCATTTATAGTTGGTTTTTACAGAGCTCTAACAAGAGGTCAGATGTGTTTTGTGTGCATACAGGGCTGAAACTCCAAGATATAGTTTAATGAGCTGTTTTCCTACAAACATAAACACAGTGTTGTTTTAGGTAGGCAAGCACACAGCACACAGTAAGCAAGTTGTAGCAGATGCTGGACTTCTTGTTAAATGTGCCCATGATGCCCATAAATGCTGAACAGTTAGGTTTGGAGACACAGACAGTGTCTGGCTGGAGGAGGAGTAAGTTAGTTTGTGTCTGGTACTTACTGATGGAAGTCTGTTTGAATGTCCTTAGCTGCTATCATTTTGTCAACATCTTCTGTTTCTTCTGGAGTTTATAAGTGTCCCCACACTGCAGTAGACAGACAGACCCACACAGCTGAAAAACACACGCTGCAGCATAAACAAACTAAACATATTTGCATATGAAAACAACAAGCACATGTAACAACCATAACGATTAATGATGCAGTTACTGAATGAGGTTATTCACGCGCGCCTGTCTGTGTGAAGGACGGGTGTATATTTGTATGACTTTAATAATATATATCAAACACCTGCTGTCAAAAAACATTACTGTACTCAAAATCGAACCATAAAACACTGGATAAACTCCATTAATCACACAAAATCTCTATGTATTCGTGTAACGTGTGAAAGTTTTTTAATTGTGTTTTTAATGTTGAGTTTGATTTCCGTAAACGCGGGCTAGCATGCTAACATGCTAACGGGCCTCCAGCTCCTCTAACAGTCATTAAAACCGCCCCAAACCCACCAAAACAATGTAAAACTCACTGCAAAACCCCATTACAACTTTACATTTCTTTCATACGACGCACATTAGTGTTTCATTCATTCTCACTATTCAAACTATTTGCCCAAACTGTCTTGACATATCAACGACTCTGAGAAACGAATCTCCCGAACGAAGTCACAGGAAATTTTTTTTTTTTTTCCTAAAATCACGGATATTTATGAAGATCGGCCGCCATTTCCTTCCTCACCAGCTCACCTCCCTCAGCGTGAGTCCAGCAGCATCAAACCCGCCCAGAACTGCTGCCGCCGCACGGTACCGAACCGGACCCGGAGCTCCGTGGTTAAGACATTAAAACATGTTCAAAGTAGAACTGGCTCTGTGGCTCAGTTCTGTTTGTGTTTCAGAGCTAGAAGAGGCAGTTTGCTGCTGTGGGCGGACAGGAGTAAAAAATACAGCCTCGAGAAACCCAAAACACACTTATTACGCGTCCACACACACACACATATCATGGGACTAGCACTGCTAATTTCTGCGCAATTGTTTTGTTTACAATGGTTGTATATTGAATTGAAAATACATTAGTTCTAAATCACAATTTATTTACAAACAAATAAAAGAGAAGGATGAATTCATATCAGCCAGATTTGAGGACATAAAAACAGTTTTTTTTTCTGTCAGCCATTTCAAATGAAATGGAGGAGTTCAAGAAGAATAGATCACACTTTGACAAATGAACAGCTCTAATAGAAAAGGGTTAAACGTCCGGGTCTCGGATGGAAGAATTCAGCAATAACAAAGTACAGAAAGCAAGGGTTGACAGATAAATAAGGAGAGAAATAGCTCTGTGTGCCTAATTTGGAAAATGTAGCTTTTTTTTTTAAATGAGAGTGATTAATTATACTTGTAACTAAGTGGACGTTTTGTTTTAATACACCTGAAATGTGCTAACAAGCAAGAGAATGCAAGAAGTGTCAAAACTCTGAAATGATGGTGGACAGAGAAGGAAAAAGGATTTGTTTATATAGAAAATGAGTGGTATCAGAATAAAGCCCAGTCAGAAAAAAATGTAACAGTTCACAGGTATAGAGCTTAAATACAAGTAAAAAACGTATAAAACATTTGAAATATCTCAAACAACTAAAACGAAGCACAGACATAACAAAACAAAAAAAAAAACCAGAAAAACAATTACAGGATGTTTGGTTTGTTTATGCAAATAATAAATGTATGTTGAAATGTATGATGAAAACAGTTTATGCTGAGGAATGGTGATATAGTTTTTAAAAATTAAACTATGCAGTATAATATATTGCATAACAGGAAAAATATAACTTCCCAGTTTCATCTCCAATGCACTTTACACATTATGTATTGCCTTTAACCCATTCATCTGTGTATGCGCACCTGAGCAACCAAAGATACAAATGTACAAACATCATAAAAAATTCTTCCCTTTCATGTCAATGGTATACATAAAAATAATTTCCCATACATATGTAAACTTAAAGTCATCCCACATTATATTCTGTAGTTTACACAGTTCCCAGCTTTATTTCTGCTGATCGTAAGTGACCGTTAACACTCTTGCCATCAGAAATCAGCTGGGTGACTCACACTAAACAAAACTGCATAAGCTTTTCTTTAATGGACTCTAACAAACAATTAAGCAAACAAACAAAAACGCCAAGCAACTAAAAATTTGATATTTACCAATTGCATCCCAAAAACGCTTTCAAGTAAAAGTGGCAAATTTTGAACATTTAAAAAATATTTGACATAGATATGCTTCAAGGCACCTTTATAAGTAATATATATATATATATATATATATATAAAACAGCAATGCATACATCTTTTACTGCCATTATATAAATCTATTCCTCACAGTACTTACTCACAGAGGAAGTAATGACCATTTACATCCAGCAGGGGGAAGAATGGTGTTTCTACTGAGAACAGCAGGATTGGCAGTGACTTTATATATGGATGAATCCCAATTGGAAGACTTTTATTAATGTCTAGTGTATGGAGTAAGACAGGATCATAATAAAACTGCATTTTGATGCAATACTATGATTAGGGGGATAGTAATCTACAAAGCATAGTACACCAACTGGGAATCAGCCTAGATAAATGTTGCATGTCCATCATTTAGCCCCATATAACCTCTCAATGTCCTTTATATAATGATTTTTCAGCTCTTTTCTCTTTAGTTTGAAGGCATCCGTCACCAGCCCTGTTTCTGGAGTCCAAGCCTCAGAACTTAAACAGATCTTCTGTGGAACCTCAAACCTTTCCAGTTTACCTACAGTACCACACACACACACACACACACACACAATTAATTTATATACAGTTTATACACATAGACACACACACAAAAAATAAATGCCTTTGCTATTTTCTCACAGTATCAAACACACAAATCTCTGTAGTTACAATAGACACTGTTTAAAGGGAAACTCGGTCACCAAACAGACAGTCCCCCCCCCAAAAAGTGTGGAAAAAAAACCCACTGAAAGCATTACACACTTCCACTTTCTGCAGCATATACTTAAGTAACCAAACATCATTGAGAAGTTAGTATAACATTAAAAAATGTGCTTACTTGTGACTGCAATTTCTTTGATGACTTTTACTACTTCCTCCTCCATCTTGGTGTGGTTACAAAGCTCCTCCCACTCGCCCTCTATCCCGTTCTTTTTTGCCAGCTCGATCATTTGCTTCTGATTGGGCACCACAAAGCTGATCAAGTAGTTCTGATCACTGATCGGAAATAGTACAAGGACATATTAGTGTTGAACTGACGGCATGTGTTTATTCTGCATTATGGTGTCTTGGAGCCTGCATGACAAGTTTAGGTTGTATCAATACACATATTAATGTAGCCTAGTGGTTTGCTAAAAACACAAGATTAAGAACGAGTTTTGTGGCTCTATCTGTTTGCTTTAAAGCCATGGATAAGCAATTGTAACAGTTTATATCAATACACTTCTGTTCAAAAGATCGGGTTGCTAGAGTGAATCTTAGTTCTAGCACTTTGTGTTTTTTTTTTTTTTCACTTAAATTTTATTGTATCATATTGAATTGTATCACTTTCATTGTTTTGCTAACCCACAATTTATTTATTTGATTGATTGTATTAAGTTGATCTTGTCTTTTGTTCTGTTTTGGTTTCCTCTTTGTAATATTGTCCTAAAACTCAAAGTTTAAAACAAAAAAGATTATGTTGGTAAGATTTTTGAAAAAAAGTGTCTTATGTTCACTAAGGTTGCATTTATATGCTCAAAAACACTCCCAAAACAGTAATATTGTAAAATTACAATTTAAACTAATTGTTTTCTTTTTTAATATGTTTTAAATTGTAATTTATTCCTGTTATGGAAATGCTGAATTTTCAGCAGCCATTACTCCCGTCTTCAGTGTCACATGATCCTTCGGAAATCATTCTAATGATTTGGTATAATGATTCCTATTATTACCAACGCTGCTGCTTAATATTTTTTGTGGAAACTGTAATCAATTTTTCATGGTTCTTTGATGAATAGAAAGTTGAAAAGTTACAATCTTTTGTAACATTACAAATATCTTTACTTGCATATGTGTCCCTGAACCACAAAGCCAGTCATAAGGGCCAATTTTGTGAAATTGATATTTCTGCATCATATGAAAGCTGAATAAATAAGCTTTCCATTGATGTATGGTTTGTTAGGATAGGACAATATTTGGCCGAGATACAACTATACAGATTGAAAATCTGGAATCTGAGGGTGCAAAAAAATCTAAATATTGAGAAAATCGCCTTTAAAGGTGTCCAAATGAAGTTCTTAGCAAAGCATTTTACTAATCAAAAATTAAGTTTAGATATATTTACAGTAGGAAATTTACAAAATATCTTCATGGAACATGATCTTTTACATTATCCTAATGATTTTTGCCATAAAAGAAAAATCAATAATTTTGACCCATACAATGTATTGTTGGCTATTGCTACAAATATACCCGTTTTGATAGCATCATACATGCCACTTGTTATCAGATTAATAGCTGTGTATATGGACAGTTGCACACACACATGTGTGCAGCCCACACATAATGTTATCAAATCAATCAGTATGAACACCTATGACCAACAAAACTGGGACATGGCGATTTTCAGTGCTAAAATTCCAGTCACATGTAAATTGACACTTTATTCAGGTTAATCTCTGGATACAGAATATTGTGGGATATAAAGTTGTGGTGTACCTGCTGGCATAGACGCAGATGTTATCAATGAGGGGGCTGTTTTTCAGGGCAGATTCTACCTTCCCCAAAGACACATATTCACCTGCCTGCAGCTTTACCAGGTCCTTCTTACGATCTGAGAACAGGAAGTGGAGGATTGGCATGTTATGTTTGACAGAACAGCAGACGTCTCTCTGACGTAACTCTCCTTTGTTAGGTGATTCAGAACTTACTCACCCACAATCTGCAAACAACCGTCTGGATGAACTTGCCCGACATCTCCAGTACAAAACCAGCGCTGCCCTGCCTCATCCACCCAGAAGTTGTCATTTTCTCCCTCCCCCTCACTCCCAAAGTATCCCATGGCAACATTCGGTCCACCAACCAGAATCTCTCCTCGTGGGTGTGGCTTGTCCTGACTGGTGTATCCACCTGATGATGAAAGAGAGAGGTCGGTTGAAAGTTAGGAATGTAAAGTGAACCTGAGAACCCTCAATTCCTGTTGTTGTTTGCACATGTGTGTGTGTGTGTGTGTGTGTCTTACCCTCAGGCCAGTCTCGCAGTTTTATTTCAGAGCAAATGAGAGGAGCTCCAACTCGTCCTGTACTGTAATCAGAAACTGCAAACACACACAAACACAAGTTTGAACATGTCGGCACAGGAATCCAGTCATTTTAACATGCAGGAAAAAATGTTTTTGCACTAACATTCTGAGATAGTTCCCGCTCCACACGTCTCTGTAAGGCCGTAACCCACAGCGACAGGGCAGAAACACACATTCATAAATCTCTGTGTGGAAGCAGACAGTGGAGCCCCTCCGCTCAACATCAGACGTACACACCCTCCCAGCAGCAAATTCACACGCTTGAAAAACAACCTGAAACACACAATCATATCATCTCAAACAACAAGATCTTGAAGACAGAGACCATTTCGTATAGGCAAAATCTGCCATTGCAGCACTGCATATAGGCAACATTTTATCACTCTTACCCAAGTGAAAAATTTTGAATTCACAACACAATTTAGCACACAAATGTATTTGTAAAATAAGTCACGCAAAGTTTAGAAATGTAACTATTTAACCTTTTAAAATACTGTAATACATATTTATATCAAAGTATATTTTCAATATAACAATATATATATATATATATAGATATATATATATATATCTGGCCAAAAAAAGTCGCCATTTGGATTAAAATAATCAAATAATGATGATGAGTCTAGACTTGGAACAGTATTGCAGTAATTAATATGTTTCTGGTATGTTATATGTTTTGCAATAATTCTTTTAACCCTAACTGATGCAGCTTTTTATTTCTTTAACAACTAGATAGATAGATACCCATCATGTTTAACTGACTCACATGTTACACACCGCAGAATCGGCTCCTTGTGACACCTTCTGCAGCTTATAGTTGTATCCCACTTTAAACAGAGTCCTCTGAACCACTGACATCTCTCTCAACTTCCCATTAACGTTCTTGCAGATACGATCCATGATCTCCTAGACACACCAACAGATACACATACACAAATATTGAGTAAAAAGAGGGGAACAAAAATAAAACACTCAAAGTTTTTCATTTTTAAAACTCACCGGTACTGCCGCTATCAGGGTGGGTTTAAGCACAGAGCAATCTCCCTTACCACCGATCTTTATTTTACTGGACTGCATAGACAAGTGCACAGGTCAAGCACAGAGGAGATGATATAATAGAGGAACAGAGTATGTGTGTATGTATGTTTGTGTTTGTGTGTGTGTGTGTGTGTTACCTGGTCCGTGAGTGTGTGTGGGGATGAGTATCCGAGCCTGCAGCCATATGACACACAGGATATTTCTGCTGTCAGCTCCAGCACATGAGCCAGAGGGAGATAAGCTATATAAGTGTCCTGGGACCTGTACATACACAGCGATGTTGTTATTGTTAACTAAAACTAAAACTACTCAAACTTATTTTTGTTAACTGAAATCAAATATAAATATTAGTTGATAAACTTTAAAAAAAAAAAAAACATAAAAAAATAAATGTAGAAATGTTGAATTTTTTTTGAAGTGATGCCTTGGAAACAGCTGAAATAAATAAGTTGAAGTACTAAAATTACTCAAATTAAAATGGATATAAAAATAAATAAAGCTAAATAGAAATGTTTAAAGAAAAAAATATAAAAATGACCAAAAAAAACATCATTATTAAAACTTAAACTAAAATTTAAACTGAAAATATAAACATTAAAGCTAACTCAAAAACATGAATGAATACCAAAATAGTATATAAATAACCCTCACACAAAAATAAAGATTTAAGATTAGTTTGAAAGATTAGACACTAACTTATATTCATTTTTACATGCATTTATTCGTCAGTTGTTAGTTTTCCATAATTTGTGTAATTTTACACCCACGTCTCTGTTGTTCCCTGTATTTGCTTCACCACACACTCCTACTCCAGTTTTACCCTACTGATGCATTATGTCTTAACCAGACGTGACATGATTTAAGCTGGAAGTAATTTGTTTGTCCGTAGTGTACGGATAAACATGCAAATTATTGAACTGGTGTTGGTGTTATTACTGTTGCTCACCCCAGGCCCGGGATCCGCTGGCACTGCCCAGCCATTCCTGCAATCAGATTACTGTGTTGCATCTTCACTCCTTTAGGCTTCCCTGTAGACCCACTGGTGTACATCACCACTGCGAGATCAGATGCAGTCGGCTTCTCATACTCTTTGCTTACTGAAAGAGAGAGAGACACACAAGGAGAGAGCATGTATATCAGCTTATGAATCAATTCAGTTTGGTTGTATAAATAATTGTTTTGCATGTTACTCACAGTTCTCTGGCTTTGCCCCAAGCTCCATTACTTCCTGCATGCTGTGCATGTCGAGAGACTGTGGGTAATCAGCATGACATACTTCACCACTGCCTGCATAGATAACATGCTGCAACCCTGACTGCACTGCACTCAAAACGTTCTGAGAAAGAGAGAAAGAGTAATATAACACAAACTTTTAGCCAGACCACCCTGATAAGCAGGTCACACTTGCATGTCTGTGGCTTTGTGTACCTTCAGTTTGGTCCGCAGCAGTTCTGTGCTTGTAATGAGATGAGTGGCTCCACACTGATTCAGCCCATAAGCTACAGCATCTTCACCCAGAGTTGCATACAGCGTTACCACTGCACACACACACACACGCACAATTGTGCTCATAAGTTCAGATAATCTTTGCAGGATCTGCGAGGTTTGCATATATAGTTTAAATATAAAAATAACAAAATGAAAGGTTCGGTATGTAATATTGACAAAATATTGTAAAAAAAAAAACAAAAAAAAACTTACAGGTAGTACAACAAATCAGGGTTGGCCTGGCATGGATATTACTTTTATACAAGAGTTATACAAGTTATCACTATGTAACATTTACTTTAGGCAAAATGTTGCTAGTTGCTTTGCCTGTTTTTGTACCGATTACGAAAATAGTTCCAAACAAAGCCAAAGCAAAATTAATTGTTGGCATGCAGTGAAATACAGCCATTCCAGAAACATTTTATTTCATGTATTTACATTTTTTTCTGAAGCATATTTTATTAATCTGGAACCTGATTCTTGTGTAGGGTACGATCCATTCTTTTAGGAACTGAGAATATCAAACACAGGCTATCTTGTTCTGTACGGTTCTTGCAAAAAGACTTGTTTAGATACGTAAGTTGGACTCTGTCTCCACCTTTGAGATGTGGGTCAGAGAACTGAGAAATATGCTGTATTTATTTTAAAGGACAAATTATCTATTTTATTAAGATCTGGAAACAAATAAGGTTACATCTATGAGAAGACTGAGATGTTTAGAGGATATTATCAACATATGCTTCAGGACTCATGCCTCCTATAATTACAGTTTATGTCTTTATTTTAATTTTAATTCTTGTCGTTCATCATGAGAAGTGACTATGTATTTTTTACTTTGTTGCTCATGTATGCTTTCTGTTTAGTGTTGAAGAAACCTTCTACAATTATTGTATAAGAATATATAGAGTGGGGTGTTATAATAGGATAAGAAGCAAGTATCAGAGTTGGTATTGCCGAAATTGTATAATGAATACTTCAGCCTGGCATGGTTATTCCATAAGTGGTACCTCACATGTATGTTTTCTTTAAGAAAAATGAGCCTGAATGAGTCCGTGTTGTTAAAACAAATTGGTTGAATGAATGATTCACTACCTCACTGATAAAAACAGTAATTTGTTTAACTCCAGAGTGAATTAGTGTTTTTGAATGAATCGTTCAGTTAGTGACTGAATATCTCACTCATAAACCACCTACTGTGTTTGTTTAGTGATGTAACTGGCAGAAAGTTTGAGTAACTGAAAAATCCCCACCACTAATATCCACCTTATTTTCCAATGCAGAAGTAAGCTATTTCCTGTGAATGTACGAGAGTTCTGATTCCAATTAACCTCTATAGGTGAATAACTAATAACAAAACTCTTTATGTACAGCTAAATTGACTGGAAATAGGCTATGTAAACCAAAGGTTACATAAATTCAGCTGTGAAATAACTATGGAGCAGAACAAAAAAACATTTATATGACTGTATGATTTAGATTTAAACGTGTTTAGAGTTAAAGGTATAGTTCACCCAAAAATGAAAATTCTGTCATTATCTACTCACCCTCATGTCGTTCTAAACCCGTAAGACCTCCGTTCATCTTTGGAACACAAATTAAGATATTTTTTATGAATTCTGAGAGCTCTCTGACCCTCCCATAGATAGAAATGTAATTACCACGATCAAGATCCAGTAACCACAAAAAAAATAAAATAAAAAAACGACTTTATTATTTATTCAACAATTCGTCTCCTCCGCGTCACCCTGGTGCCATTTTGGAGAGGATCCACTGAACATAAACAGCGTACGCTATTCTGTCAGCTGCGTCACGTGGATACGTTGTTTTCGTTCAAATCAAAGCGTAAACAACGTTGAAAACACAGCTGACACAGAATAGCGTACGCTGTTTACGTTCAGTGGATACTCTCCAAAATGGCACCAGGGTGACGCGGAGGAGACAAATTGTTGAATAAAATCGTTATTTTTGTTTTCTTTGCATACAAAAATATTCTCGTAGCTTCGTAAAAATTACGGTTGAACCACTGATGTCACATGGATTATTTTACCGATCTCCTTGCTACATTTCTGGACCTTGATCTTGGTAATTACAGAGCTCTCAGAATTCATCAAAAATATCTTAATTTGTGTTCCGAAGATGAACGGAGGTCTTTCAGGTTTAGAACAACATGAGGGTGAGTAATTAATGACAGATTTTCATTTTTGGGTGAACTAACCCTTTAAAGTAAAGTGTGATTGCATTACATGGGAAGTTGCGTCTGAAGCAGGCCTGTGCTGTGATCATCCATTCTGCCCGTGTCTCACAAAAGATGGCAATGGTATTACACTGGCCCAAAGCTGCCAGACCACTGCCAAAAGATTCCACTGCTTGACTGACCTCTTCATAGGTCATCCAGCTGTAGTCCCCCAGGACCAACTACAAACAAAAACACATATGTTTCTATATCAACTGTCACTAATATTTTTGACTGTTTCCAACTGATTGAACTGATACCGAATCAAATCGGTGAATGAATTTACCTTCTTAAAGATCTTCCCATTGGGTTGTTTTTCTTCTTCTTCACTAAGGACCTCTCTGGTGCCCAGACAGGGTGCCTTACTAAATCTCTTCACAGCATGTACAAAAAGTTTGTCCAGCGTGTCCACGCCTTCAAAGTCCTGTGTAACGAGAGCATCTGCGCTTTCTACTGCCCGATACGGCCCTTCTGGACGTCCACTTATACTCCGTGCTCTCTCACACTGCGGCAACATGACCTGCACACAGACCAACATATTTCCATATGAATCAACTTACAAGAGTGCTGAAATAGTAACAACACATGGTCAAAAACTTCAATCCTCTCTTTGTATCGCACACCCAGAACTAGACTGAAACCACTCTGGGACACTCAGAACGAGACACAGAAAAACAGGTATCCAATATACATGACTGATAATATGTGGCTATTATTAAATGTGGATAGAGCAGAAGGGAGAAAAAGGAAGAGTAAGTAAGATTTAGACATGCGTGTGATTGAATGGCTGATTAAGGAACTACTTCACCACAAACCTACCACTAACGTTCAAGAAACCCTGAAGAAACACCCGTGTTTGTGGTCAACTAAAGGCAGGGAACCAACAGACTCGATATTTATTCTGTGCAACACACACACACACCCACACGTAAAGACATAAGATCAAACTGAAGTGGATGTGTAGGCGGTTTCCCTGGCACAATTATCAAGGCTTTTCTTTTGTGTTATATTAAAAAGACTTTAATCTGCACTAATAGCACTGAAAAAAAAGGACTGGAAAAAAACCCCCACCAAAACCAGTTTCAGAAGCATCACTTGCATGATCTGCTGGCTGCAAAAGAACAGATCATATCAACATACACAGACACACATGCTGCTCCAGCTTAAGTTACAGCAGCACTATCCAGGAAGGCTGCTGTTTCAAAACTGATGACATCACAGTTTGGAGGGATTTGAACTGCATGTTCAGGAAGTCAGATGACCCACTTAAACATTTGGAAAAACTGTTCAACTGTCAAACAAACACACATCCTGTATATCTTGATATCACTTTCATCTGGCATGATATGTAGCCCTCATGCATATCATGCAATAAATGGACTGAAAGGGAAAGTAAAGACTTGTAACATTGTTACAAATGCATATTTCAAATAAATGTGGTTCTTTTGAACTTTCTATTAATCTTGAAAAAAAAAAGTTTCCACAAACAAATATTGAGCAGCACAAGAATTCTGAATATTTACAATAAGATGTTTCTTGAGCATTAAATCAGTATATCAGAAAGATTTATGAAGGATCATGTGACAAGACTGGAGTAATGGCTGCTGAAAATTCAGTTTTGCATAACAGGAATAAATTACATATTAAAATATATTAAAGTAGAAAACAGTCAGACCACCGTAGTATATGCTGTTGTATATATAAAGGTCTAACAATAGGGTTTTGCCTGTTAGCATTAATTTGCATTATTAACATGAACTAACAATGAACACAACACGTCTACAGCATATCTGAATGTTCATTTTAACATTTACACATCGTTAAAATCAAAAGTTGCTTCTGTTTACATTAGTTATTGCACTGTGAACTAATATGAAGAGCTATATTTTCAACATGAATACACTGTAACAAATGCAGTATATATATATATATATTTACTGCTTATTGTTAGTTCATGTTACACATACTATATATGAAGAGAACTATTAAGCTTTATAAATCAAAAGTAAATAAAAAACTTTAATAAAAGTTATTATTAAACATAATACCTTATATTACTTTTTAACTGATTAAAAAAGGGTTAAAGTTAAAAAAAAAAGTATAATGTATTTAAAAATACTCAATCTGGAAAAAAAAAATTTAATAAAATCTTCCATCAAACCCTTAAAAAGAAGTATAACCACAATGATCCACATATTCAGATATATTCTCACACACTGAAAATCTTTATCTACATTAATTTCTATAATTGTTTACATTAGTTTAAACATCTCATGCCTACTCCCTCTCTCAACACTCCACTTCAAAAACATCATCTGCAGACTAACAATATAACATTACTGTAAACAACCAAAAAAGAAAACCATCATCATTCAGTCAAACTTGAAACCTGAGGCAAAAGAATTTTAAAGTGCACGGGAAGCTGAAATCTTACCTTCAAATAAACACTGTGCACAGCAGTTCTTCTTTTCCTTTCTCAGACAGATGGTCAACTGCAACAAGAGGTTTGGGCTTCCCTTTTCTCACTCTCTGTCTCCGTCTCTCTTGGCTGATTGGATGTCTTTTGTACAGTCATAGTTCTAGTGAACCTCATTTAGAGCCCACCCGCTGGCCTCAGCCAATCAGAAGACAGTTCTGAGGAGGAAGTTCTGAGGTTACTTCTGAGTTTTTAGAAGGAATATTAGGAGGTGTTTCCTTTATACTTACTCATAGTCTTCTTGACAAACAGTTGTTCCTTTACCTCACTTACACAATCAGACACGTCAGAGCTAAGCACTTTCTCAAACTTTAAAGAACACATCGTTCTATTAGTCAAACACCCACTCGGCTGATGCACATTTACTGTTGAGGGAAAGAAATTTCAAGAATGTGAACAATCACTCAAGACTAGCTGTGGGTCATTGGTCATGAATCACAGTTGCCAACTCAGAACAGGTCTGACCTGGAAATGTGCCTTAGGTGTAGCGGTTCATTCACTTTGACCACATTAATACATCACTGACTGATGTAGCTTCATGTGGTCTGCTAACGTAGCCCTCTCCATGCCTACCACAAGCTTTAGCTCGGTAAAGGACCGTTTATTTGCTATCAGGACATCTAAAGGCATCCACAGCTGGTTTTCTTTCCAAGCAAACAGTTGGGACTACTAATTTTAGACAAACTGTCCATAGACATCCACAGTACTGATTCTATATACAGTCTTTCAAAGAAATTCAGGCCAAACAGAAGAGGATGGGTTTCCTCTTTCAGCCTTGGTTTCTCACAAGGTATATTTGTTACATTAATGGAGTTTTTCTATGAAACTCTTGCCGTTTTCTTGCTCGCTGGGGGTTTAGGCGTGTTACTTTGTACGGTTGCTTTGAGACAATCACTACTGTTAAAAGTCCTAAATATGTTAAGAATAGAAAATCAAATTACAGAAGGGAGCAGAATAGAAAGCCCCCTTGTGAAAAGACGCAGGTCAGGTTGGCCAGATCTGCTCTACTGATTCAGAGCGGGTCTGCTTCAGTAACTCAAGAAGAAGAAAATAAAAAAGGTTTGACCTGACCTGAAAGTATGGAAACGTCTGAACATGTAAATGTAATCAGGACAAACAGGGCAATTCTGACTAAAAGTAAAAATAAGAAGATAAAGATAAAGATAACAGACACAAACTTGCAGGATAAGTGAATGTTATAAAGCACGACTTAAGACAACTGGATCATATACAGTAGAAAGAGAAATGAATGAGCATTCCATTTTATTTTATTGGTACACTTCTTTTACAGACCCACTACTGAAGGGCCGCACATAAAGATTAAAAAGACAAAATGAGCACATATGATATTTGCTAAAACGAAAAAAATATTTTAAACAAACTGCTGAAATACAGTTCTATAACAAGACAATTATTTAACATATTTCTCCATGAATTTCTTATGGAATTCAGAGCGCAGGGTGTCATTAATGAAGCGTTTCTCTTTACGTGATTCATCCACTCCTTTAGCGCAGTTTTTAAACACGACATCATCGTCCCACCTGCCAAAAACAGAATGTGAAATTGGGTTTGAATGTTGTCAATAGCATATTATTGAGCTCTCTCGGTTTTAACGAATTTGCGATTATTGAGGAACCCTGCTTTAATTCATTCAAGTTACATATATTTTGTTCTATTTGTGTTTAAGTTATTTATAATAAGAGAAGTTTACCGTTAAGTGCACTGATGTCAGACTCATTTTGAATAATGAAGGCCTCCTGGAGCCGTGTGGAGTACTTTTAATAGCCTTCTAATGGCCTTCAAAATCAAAACCTCATTCACTGCCATTATAAAGCTCGGAAGAGCCAGGATGTTTTTTTTATATAACTCTGATTGTATACGTCTGAAAGAAGAATATTCATATTCACCTAGGATGGCTTGAGGGTGAGTAAATCATGGGGTAATTTTCATTTTTGGGTGAACTATGCAACTAAGAGTAACTTATGAAAGAAGACAGAAAACCAAATAATCTTGTGTTACTTATTTTTACCACCATTAAATTACCTTCTCTTCACACTGAATGCATTCTGGCTCTGTGTTTTTTGTTGTTGCTGTTGCTGCTGCTGCTGGCCAGCCAGATTGAGCAGTGGATTCCCGCTCAGAATGTTCTCCATACGTATCCTCTCCTCCTCTGCTTTCTGTTCCCTTTCCTTAATTACACGCACACCAAAAAAAACACACTTCCCATTCGTGTGTACACTGTATACTGTACTGTTATATAGCCTCACAAAGAATATTGGCCGATATATCGATCTTTTTTTACTCTCTAATATCGGTATCGGCTCCAAAAAATATATATCGGTCGGACTCAAGATTTTTGGCCCATATTTAACATAAATGGTTCATACAGAACTATTTTCAGCTTTATATTTGATATATATTACAGTCATCTATAAATATTTAGATTTTTTCAGGGGTTTGTTTTCATTGATATTCTTGAAGTTATATAAACATACGAGTGAGCATACAGAGACCTTAAAATAAAAAATAATAATTAAAAAAAAAATGCTTACACAATTTCTAGTTTTATATAACCCACTCCTTTGTGCATCACTGCCATCCTGCTATAAATAAAGCAAGAGCATGGATGCACATGAATTAATAGAGATCTACTTGCTCAAAATGTGGCTTTCCTTATAGTAGTACCTCTAATATTAAGGCCTAATGTCCAATTTAGCCTCTGCGGTGGCGGAAAAACCATGACACGAAATGGGCTGATGGCATAATATGGCTGTGTGCATTGTCCTATTTATCAAGTTCAAGAGTACATAAAAAAAGACTGGTTTTGTAAAAAAAAGTGTTCAAAATGTGGCTTAGGGCAGTATGTCATGTTTCAAGACCTAAGGTCTCTTTAAAGCATATTCTGTGGTGGCCAAAAAACCACACCGCGAAATGGGCTGATGGCACAATAGGTTCAGTATGCATTGTCCTATATGCTAAGTGTAATGGTTTCTCGTGCGCACATAAAAGTCTGTATATTTTTTATTTTTGCATAGGTCCTTGAGGCTATGAAATATGGTGCTAAGAATATCGTATTACATAATATATTGTAATCTCTATGAGTTAAGTCTATTTATTATCAAAGCACTTGTCAGTAATACAGTTAAAATGGGGAATATGTGTGAACGATTGCATTGCAGGGCTACAGTGCTCCTAGTAAAAATAGTTAGTCTGGAGCCCTGCCTAAAAGTATGCAAACTTGTCACCCAAATGTTTGAACTACTCCTTTAAAAGCAAAGGCATTATACAAATTCTGTCCTAATAATTGATTGATTGCCAAAGAGATTTTGTAAAGAACAGCAACTTGACCTGTATTTGATCTTGGTGTGTCCTGGCAGGTCTCTGCTGGAGTACTGTTTAGACAAAGCACTCAGATCACCCTCTCCTTTGCCCCGTCCTCCTCTTGCGGGCTCAAACGTTGGCCTTGCTGCTGTGGTCATCTTCGGTTACCTGAAACGAATGCGTTGTAACCATAGACTGTAGGTTGTAACACAGACACACACACACACACACACACACACACACACACACACACACACACACACACACAAATGCCTCATGTCTGATAGAGCAAAGGTTCAGGGATGTTTCACCTGTTATGAAGCTTTCACATGAATACATGAATGGGCTGATGGCATAATATGGCTGTGTGCATTGTCCTATTTATCAAGTTCAAGAGTACATAAAAAAAGACTGGTTTTGTAAAAAAAAGTGTTCAAAATGTGGCTTAGGGCAGTATGTCATGTTTCAAGACCTAAGGTCTCTTTAAAGCATATTCTGTGGTGGCCAAAAAACCACACCGCGAAATGGGCTGATGGCACAATAGGTTCAGTATGCATTGTCCTATATGCTAAGTGTAATGGTTTCTCGTGTGCACATAAAAGTCTGTATATTTTTTATTTTTGCATAGGTCCTTGAGGCTATGAAATATGGTGCTAAGAATATCGTATTACATAATATATTGTAATCTCTATGAGTTAAGTCTATTTATTATCAAAGCACTTGTCAGTAATACAGTTAAAATGGGGAATATGTGTGAACGATTGCATTGCAGGGCTACAGTGCTCCTAGTAAAAATAGTTAGTCTGGAGCCCTGCCTAAAAGTATGCAAACTTGTCACCCAAATGTTTGAACTACTCCTTTAAAAGCAAAGGCATTATACAAATTCTGTCCTAATAATTGATTGATTGCCAAAGAGATTTTGTAAAGAACAGCAACTTGACCTGTATTTGATCTTGGTGTGTCCTGGCAGGTCTCTGCTGGAGTACTGTTTAGACAAAGCACTCAGATCACCCTCTCCTTTGCCCCGTCCTCCTCTTGCGGGCTCAAACGTTGGCCTTGCTGCTGTGGTCATCTTCGGTTACCTGAAACGAATGCGTTGTAACCATAGACTGTAGGTTGTAACACAGACACACACACACACACACACACACACACACACACACACACACACACACACACACAAATGCCTCATGTCTGATAGAGCAAAGGTTCAGGGATGTTTCACCTGTTATGAAGCTTTCACATGAATACATGACATGTTTCGATTACAGCTGTAATACTCAACAATTCTATTTAGATATAGAGTACTGTTGTTTATTTGTTTACAGCAAAAAGATAAACTTTTATTTGTTTGGTTATTTAATGTCTTTGTTCATCTTCCTTTTGGCGTTAGAAGGTTTACGTGGAAATAAAAAATAATGTTTGTAATCCTCAATTTATCAATTGTGACAATGCACTGATATGCTATTTTAAAAAGGATAGATGTAGATTATCCATGTTTTCTGTTACTAGTAAGTGTTAAATTCTTCATAAGTCGTCGAGTGATTTAAAAGTCAATTCCCTTTTAATTGTTTAGTCTAACAAATTCTCTAAAAACAAGGAAGGTGGGAATATTGTAATGAATGTGACAGGAAAGGTCTAATGACTTTTAATGTCTGTAATGTTGTCTGTTTGTATTGTTACGTTTTCAATAAATACATGCTTGCTTTACGTTACTTGTTACATTATTTTAAACTCACCTGCAGCAGGACGATATGAATCCAACTCTATGCTTCCAAACTTATCAACGAGACCACACGAATTCAAAGCACTAACACCGAAAAACGAAATAAATTAAGCTAGTTTTTGGCTAACGTTACCAGACGCGCATATATTGTCACGTGTGTAGGGGGATTACGGTGGCGGCAGCGGGACAAACGCGAAAGCAAATACGCCGCGGTCTACAAGAGACCGCTGACATGATAAAATGCAGTTTCAGTTATATTATCTAATCACCACAAGAATAAATATAAAGTACAAACTTGTGTAAATGCATAGAAAATGAGGAATCAAAGACCAACGATTTTTATTTTTGTTGCGCAGACCAGTCTTGGACCTACACTGACACCTAGCAGCTTGGATGCAAATGTTTCCCGTTAGTGATGCCATTGTAGAAAATGCGCTCTTCACAGTAAGTCATTATCAATTTATTCCATGTGAATAACAGGAATTCTACCAATATAAACAAAATATTCGTTGGTCATGTGATCTCATGTAGGATGTCGGCCCCCATAAGGCGACCCGCTGTATGTTTACATAAAAAAAAAGAAACCACAAATGGTCAACATGGACTTTTATCAGCATTTTTATTCGGGCTTCAAGTTTTGTTGTCCTTAGAATTCCAATAACCCATAAAATGAGTGAAATTGAAAATTCATATAAACTAAAAGCAAGAGTACATTTGAAGAGGCATTTAAAAAACTAATGAAAATGCAAAGCTATAATAACCTTACACACATCCCACTACTTTCAGTACATCAGTAAGGAGGACAGACACAAACTGAGGTTTTACTAGCTTTAATATTCCTGAAACGTCTGTGTTGCAGAAAAAAAAAAGTACAAAAGTGTCTGACAGTAAAAATATGAGAATGCATGGGGGGGGGAGGGACATAGAGCCCTCACTCAATAAAACAGCATTGTCTCATACAGGCCTGCAAAATTCATCTCTGAAATATCACTAATACAAAGCCAAACAGAGTAATTAATTAATATACAAAACCACACAGTTGACCAGGCAGTAAGACATGCAGTAATACAGTCTTTCCATGAGTGAGAGAGAAAGAGAGCGCAAAAGAGAAGCGAGCGTGAGAGAGAGAGAGAGAGAGGGAGAGAGAGAGAGATGAATTTAGCATCTATAAAAACTGTTCAGCATATCTGACACGATCAATTCATAACATTTCCATACATTTGTTGACAGCTCTTCATGAATCAGTTTTCAGAAGTTCTGAAACGTTTTGCATATGAGATCTGAGGCTGGGTTCAGCCAGGGCTCCTGTAATGGCTCTATACAGTTATGTCGGTTTTGTAAATACATGTGATTACTAAAACCGCTGAAAACAGCTAAAGAAAATAAAACAATTATAATAATATATTGAGATTTTTGCATATGTGACATCATCGGAATAATAAAACACAACACACAGATAATCTGTGAGCAATGGAGGGTGAAGCTTCCTCACAGTAATGACGCATTGGGGCAAGGGGTCATTGTTATGGCATGAGGTCATTGCTATGGTAACAGCAGTGAACTGCTACTGCGGTCAAACTTAGGGAGAGAGAGAGAGATGAATTTAGCATCTATAAAAACTGTTCAGCATATCTGACACGATCAATTCATAACATTTCCATACATTTGTTGACAGCTCTTCTGCTTCCATTCAATCAGTTTTCAGAAGTTCTGAAACGTTTTGCATATGAGATCTGAGGCTGGGTTCAGCCAGGGCTCCTGTAATGGCTCTATACAGTTATGTCGGTTTTGTAAATACATGTGATTACTAAAACCGCTGAAAACAGCTAAAGAAAATAAAACAATTATAATAATATATTGAGATTTTTGCATATGTGACATCATCGGAATAATAAAACACAACACACAGATAATCTGTGAGCAATGGAGGGTGAAGCTTCCTCACAGTAATGACGCATTGGGGCAAGGGGTCATTGTTATGGCATGAGGTCATTGCTATGGTAACAGCAGTGAACTGCTACTGCGGTCAAACTTCTTGCCTTTCGAGAGTGCAGCCACTTGTTTCATCAGTTCTCTGTTCTTCGCCTGAGAGACGAACACAAACAAAACCACAGCTGGTGAAAAATATGAACACTACAGTTTAAAAGTTCACACACAGTAAGAATTGTTTTAAAAAGAAATATCTACTAAATACTGCAAGGATGCATGAAATTGATCAAGGTTGAATGGATACATTTCAAACAAATGCTAACTTTCTATTCATCAAAGAACCAAAAAGTATTATGGCTTCCACAAACACATTAAGCAGCATAGCCATTTATAAAATGTTTCTTAAGCAGCAAATCAGCATATTAGAATGATTTCTGGAGGAGGTTGTGATACTAAAGGCTAAAGTAATGATGCTGAAAATTCAGCTCTGCCATCACAGGAATAAATTACATGTTAAAATTAAAAAGTTATTTAAAATAATATTATACGTAATATTTCACACTATTAGTAGGCCAATTGTACTGTATATTTGATAAATGCAGCCTTAGTGAGCATAGGAGACTTCCTTCAAAAACACCAAAAACTAATCTTACCAACCCCAAACTTAAAGGGATAGTTCACACAAAAATGAAAATTCTGTCATTAATTACTCACCCTCGTGTTGTTCCAAACCTGTAAGACCTTCGTTCATCTTTGAAACACAAATTAAGATATTTTGAATGAAATCCGAAAGCTTTCTGACCCTCTGCGCACAGTAAAAAGTATTCTCGTAGCTTCATAAAATTATAGTTGAACCACTGATCTCTCGTGGACTATTTTACTGATGTCTTTACTACATTTCTGGGTCTGGGAACACTTCAGTTGTGTTGCTGTCTATGAAATGTCAGAGCTCTCAGATTTTATAAAAAATATCTTAATTTGTTTTTCAAAGATGAACGGAGGTCTTACGGGTTTGGAACGTAATAAAGGTTGAGTAATTAATGACAGAATTTTCATTTTTGGGTGAACTATCCCTATAAGAATAATAACTTCTCAAAGTGCAAAGTGTACTGTGTAAGTGACCTGTTGTTGCTCCATGGCCTCTTTGTGTGCTTTCTCCATGTTGTTCATCTTCACCCGCATATTTGACTCCTGATACTGAAAGTCTGCCTTCAGCTCCGTCAGCTGAAACAGTAAACAAACTTATGAAATAATCTTTTCAAAATATTCAAGAACAGAAGCCATTTTTCCAAAGTTGTGTGCTGTGATATCATCTATGTCAATGAACCGGTTTCCCTTGTGTTTCATTACCAAACAAACCAACACAGAAACATATGAACAACTATAAAAAGCCTCTAAAGGAGGGCTCCAGACTATTTTTACTAGGAGCACTGTAGCCCCTAACTGAAAATGTTTAGGAGCACAAGCAGAAAATTTAGGGGCACACCTTAAATCAGCCCGCAATGCAATCGTTCACATATTTCCCCCATTTTAACTGTATTACTGACAAGTGCTTTGATAATAAATAGACTTAACTATTTTACATTTAAGATTACAATGTGCAGTATTTTTTAATTTCAGAGAGATATGACAAATATATATATGATAAAATTACTATGGTTTTGCATTAATAAGTGCAGTTACTAATAATATTACATGTTAATTTCTTGTTTATTTCATGTTTATACACATTTGACAGTAAAGCACCAAGCTTGAGTTGGGAAGCTTACAAAGTGATTATTTGTGATTTAGTCGCAAATTGAATAAAAGTTTGTTTCTCAAAGCACTTTGTGACGTTTTTTACTTCATACACAAAAAAAAGAGTGAAACTCTGACAAAATCTAATTTCTTGAGGATTTGATATTTTATAATAGTGATTTTATAATTTCAAAATATAAAGAAAAAAGTATAAATGAATGTCTAATAAGCCAATAAGTGCTCCTCTGCTGGCATCTACAGGTTATAATGGTGATTTGATGTATTTTTTATATAAGTGTTTGTTCACCACCACAGTATATTTTGGTCATCCCATTGAAAATAACATTCAAATTGGATCATTTAGGAGCTTTAAAGTGCTGGAAACAGTTGTGTGAAATGCTTGTAATCATTGAAAATTGCTTGAATTTCTCTCTCAAAAGGCTGTACAAACCCTGAAATGAATAATGTAATAACATTCGACTATTTCTGCCATAACACCATGGTTATAGACAGCGTTACTACGTCAGCGCTGTCTGATCTGTTTATAGCAGATTTCTGTGCAGAATTTGAATGCTTCTCATTAAATCTCGCAGCAACCATTATTCATTCTGCGGCGAATTCAAACGCTTCTCACTGGATGTCGCAGCACTGTGCAGTAACAGTGTCGCGAAATCAACTTTGGTTCCCGAGTAAAGCTGTTCTGAGCTCGGACCAGTTTGTTTGTGTCACGGTCCACGCTGTGCATCTCAAATGAGTAGCGGGATTTTGTTACGCTTTTGTTTCGTTTGCCGTTTATGTTTATGTGATGTGGGCGGCTGGCTGATCAGACAACAGGATGGTGCTCAGAGATACAAGTCTATTTGAATATGTTAATGAACACTTATGCATCCATCAATCTTTGTACTATTTCCTGGTATCTGATTTCAGAGTTTTTCCTTTCTGAAAATATGAGGACTGTTTGCGTCACATGATTCTGATTCAGTGAGTCATACTTGTAGCCCGAAAGAGCTGTAGCTGCAAAATGGGAACATTTCATGTGCAAGCGGCACCAAAGCCAGGAAGTAACATCAGAAGTTACCTTCCTGTCTTTCTCAAGGATGGTCTGGTCTCTCTGCTGGAGCATGCGCTTCAATGACATCACTTCCTCTTTCAGCTGACTAATCAAGATAAAGTTATCCGTGCCTCCAGAATCCATTGACTGAGTGATTGAACTACTGGAGGGAAAAAAAGAAATGTGTTTAACATTTAAGGAGAGAATGCGACAGCCTGCCTGGAAGGCCAGAGACAGACAGATAGAGACGATTACAGTGAGAAGTAATTACCTGTCTCCATTGGATGGCTTTGTCTCTAGTTTGGGTTTTTTCTTTGGCGTTTCCTTCTGAATGCTGCACAAGAGAAACGAATTCAATACATCTCAACACAATCTCACAGCATGCAAAATAACACACTGATCATCTTAAATATTAAACTGTAGTCGAATACAAACTGCATGCCTCCAGTTACTATGTATGTAAAAAAAGACACATCTCACCTCTGCTTCCACAGTCCCTGATCTTG